ATATATATATAGGGCCTGAGGCCGCAGTTTGATATTCAGATAAACAGGTTGTTCATCATTCAGAAGAGGGAGTATTCATAGGCTTACTTCCTATGTTTAGTTCAATTATCAGCTATCAGTTATCAGTTTCAGTTACCATATTTACAGTTCTTTCCTTCGGTTATTTTACATACCAGTGCAATTCAAATGTGCTGACGTCCATTTTTGCTCGGGACCTGCATCTCTCGATGCAGGTAACGACTTACAGGTTAACGATTGTGCTTGCTAGAACATCTCGTATCAGCTAGTGGTGAGCCCCAGTCTTTCGGGGCATTATCCCTCCCTTTTTCAGTCATCATAGCATTTCCGTTAATAAGGTACACCGAGGACCTTGTCCCGGTAAACAATTAGCATTTTCAGTATTCTTTAGAGGCTTCGTAGACTATAACCCAGTCGGTCAGATATTAGCAGGCTTTCATGTGTTAGCCTTGTCGGCTACTTGTTTATACTTGCAGACCTTTCAGTATTTTTCGCATCTATGATATTTCAGTCAGACTCGTTAATAGATTATCATGTTTTATATTTACCTCTAGCTCATAGTTATACCACATGTTGATCCAGACATACAGTTGGTTCGCTCGGTCACATGCAGTCAGGCACCGAGTGCCGTGTTACGCCCAGACCATGGTTCGGGGCGTGACAAAGCTTGGTATCAGAGCCCTAGGTTCAAGAGTCCTAGGGAGTCTATGAAGCCGTGTCCAGTGGGGTCTCTTTTATGTGTGTGTGCGCGCCACACGTGTAAATAGTTGACCACCAAGACATTTAAGATTGTTCCATTTCTTTCATGCTCTAGATCGTGCAGTTAGAGCTATGCTTTCAGGAATCTTTCTAACCCGTGCGAATTGCGTATTTCAGGAAAAAAAATGCCTGCAAAAAGAAAGTACACTAGGAGGCCCTCAGCTACTAGCCAGGGGGCCACAACTAATGCTGCTCAGGGGAGGACACTCCGGCCCAGGGGGTTGCATCGGGCTCAGTGCCCAATGCTTCAGACATGGATGTCAGGAGAGTTATCCAGTTGCTCACCCAGATTGTTGCTACTTAGGCTCAAAGGCAGGGAACGGGTGATGTTCATGAGACGGGTAGTTCCAGGTCTAGGGAATTCCTCAACATGAAACCACCCGTCTTCACAGGGTCTAAAAAGGATGAGGATCAGCAAAACTTCATTGATGAGGTTCAGAAGATATTTCGAGTGATGCATGCTACAGACACTGAGGCAGAAGAGCTTGCTGCGTACCAGCTGAAGGATGTTGCCAACACTTGGTATGAAACATGGGAAGAGTCCCGAGGGTAGGATGCGGCTCCTGCGACTTGGAAGGAGTTTGCAGATGCGTTCCTTGAGCACTTTCTACCCATTGAGGTCTTGGAAGCTAACGCTTTGGAGTTTGAGAGACTCAGACAGAATGATATAAGTGTGAATGAGTACTACCTCAAGTTCGTCTCTCTAACCAAGTATGCTCCGGAAATGGTACGTGATATGAGGGCTAGAGTTAGGCGGTTTGTGTTGGGACTTTCAAATGATTTGTTTGCTGGTGCTAATATAGATGCTCAGAATAATGACATGACCATCACTAAGATGGTTGCCTTTGTTCAAGGGAAAGAAGACAGGTTGAAGGAAGAAGAGCAGCAACAGAGAGAGAAGGAGAGGAAATTCAGCAAGAGAGCTAAGTCTGCAGGAAATTTCAACCATGGGGGATCTCAAGCAGGAGGAAATCACCAGTTTTTCAAGAAATCAAAACCAGGACCTGCTCCATCTTCAGCTAGTGCACCGGTTCAGACGTCAAAGTTTAACAAGAAAAACCAGAATTTCATAACAGCAGACTCACAGTCACAGGCTAGTGTGGGCTATAGAGTCCCTGGTTACCCTATTTGCAACACGTATGGTAAGAGGCACCCAGGGTTGTGTCGTTTGGGCACAAATGGTTGCTTTGGGTGCGGCCAGCAAGGCCATTTCTTGAGGGATTTTCCATCGGCAAAGCAGAACAATGAAGGCAATGTAGATTAGTCCACTAATTCAGCAGCCCATCATAACTCTCAGGCCCAACAACAAAGTGCAACAAAGTCTAATAATGTAGGCGGTGGTCGAAATCGCTTGTATGCACTAGTAGGCCGTCAAGATACAAAGGCTCGTGGAGATGTTATCACAAGTATGCTAACAATATTCACTTTTGATGTCTATGCTCTTATAGATCTGGGGTCCACCCTATCTTATGTAACCTCATATATTGCTAAGAAATTTGGGATAGAACTAGAAAAGTTGTGTGAACCCTTTGAAGTGTCCACTCCAGTTGGAGAATCAGTTATAGCAAGGTGTGTCTATAGGGGATGTCCAGACAAAGTGTATCATCGTCTTACTGTAGCAGACTTAGTAGAATTGGAGATGGTAGACTTCGATGTGATCATGGGCATGGATTGGTTTAGAGTCATGTTATCCCACAGTGGGTTGTAAAACCAAAATAGTAAGTTTTGAATTTCCCGGTGAATCAGTCTTAGAATGGAAGGGTGATGCAATAACACCTAGGGGTAGGTTTATTTCCTATTTTAAAGCCAGAAAGATGATCTCCAACTGATATATCTATCACCTGGTTCGAGTTAAGGATACAGATGCTCAGATTCCCACTCTCCAGTCGGTGCCAATTGTAAATGAGTTCCCGGAAGTGTTTCCCGAAGATCTCCCTGGAATCCCTCCCAATAGAAAGATTGACTTTGGAATTGATCTACTTCCAAGCACTAAGCCGATATCTATCCCGCCTTATAGAATGGCTCCAGCGGAGTTGAACGAGTTAAAAGTCCAGTTGAAAGATCTTCTAGATAAGGGATTTATAAGGCCAAGTGTCTCACCTTGGGGCGCACCGGTCTTGTTTGTCCGAAAGAAGGATGGGTCGTTGCGTATGTGCATTGACCATCTTCAGTTGAA